GATACATAACGAATAAAAAAAGCTATCAGAAACTATATCAGGATTTGATTTTTAGTTGAATAACCTAAATAAAATATGTAATTAAATAGCATATTGAAAAAAAGGAAACCAAATCGCTTTTTTCTGTCTTAGCTTAAAGTTATAAAAAACAGCATAAATGCATACTGTTAATTAATGCCTTGCTTACCGCTTCGAGACACGAAAAAGCTTTTAGCATAATACATAAAAATGACCACATTAATGCTTGGGCACTTTCAACTTGAGCTCCATTAAATATTTTGTGGCATGGAAAAAAAGGTAACCTCAAAAAATTGCGCCACTTCATTTTTAGGCCATTTGAAATTACTTAATTCGGCGAAACAAAGAAACAAAAGCCATCGTATTCGTATATGTGCTGGTCGCCATGCCGGAAGTAAGGCCCAGCTGTTGCCTGTGTTTTCCTGTGTTATCTGAGGCCCGTTGCAAGGACCAGCACTCAACCACAGCTGCCGCAACTTTACAGCTGCCGCACTTTCCATACAATGAAGAACACTGCTTTTTACTTTGCCGCATCCTCACACTCCTCCTTTTTTAAATGTGTTTTTCGTTTTCCAACAAGTGTTATTCTTCTGTTGACTGCTACCATGGATTTGGAGTCAAGATTGCAATGCTTGGCCTTAGAAAATCTTCGTATTACGTATACGACATGGGTAACAAAGATTTAAGCAATTCGTTTTTCTCTTTAAGCTTAACATTTAAATATATACTATTGTGTATTTTATTATAATTAAGGTTTTCTCTTTGCCACTTTTTTCCATTAATATTTAATACTATATTTAAGCTACACTATACACTTGCAATATATGTACAGTTTTATATCTACGATGAAAAGACATTGTTCTAAACTCTGATTTTTATTAAGCTAGTTTTATGCAATTTTTTGTACTTTTTTTTTTTGCAAATGAATCAAAATAAATAAATATGATTTCTCTTCATGAAAAAAAACATTGCTTTTGTTTAATGCAGAGCTGAACCAAAGCAGCAGCAACAATATCAATTGCTGTCCTCTCTCAGACAGCAGATATTACATTTATGGCCATAACATCCTTTTTCAATAATTGTGGAAAAACCAAAAAAATATGTAATAACAAAATTGAATTGCTTCTACGCTGTTTCACATTATGTAGAATTGGATTAATTCACTTCGCAATGCAATTTTTAATAAGATTAAGTAATGCAGCTTGTAAGACTGAGCAAGACAAAGAGGAACATAACTCTCTCAGTTCTTTTGCTAAGTAGTAATACTTTGGCCGCCTTGTTTTCATTTATTTATATCATACTGTGATTATTACTTTATATAATTCAGGGGCGGCATTCATAGCGTTAATTTAAATTAAATCAGCTTAAGAACTCTAGTTGTGAGAGGAAACTGGAAGCTCATTTGTGAGTACTTACAACAATTTAAATATGACTGCGAGTTTAAATTCAAAGTTGTAACTATTTGTTAAAAAAACATATATATTTTGTTAGCCTTTCTGCATTGTGCCTTTTAGCAAGTTTTTCCTGAAACCTAATTTGGCCAGAAAATTGTTTTATTTCCCATCCTACTTGCATTTGTAGTTTTTGTAATATTTGTGCTTGCATGTGCATTTGTGCTCGGCAACTATTTTTAAATATGCATATATGGCTTCAAATGCCAAATGCAATTAAGCATAAACATTTTTAGCTAGAAAAGTGAATGCAAACAAATGTGCAAATTATTTTCATGTGGGGAGTGTGATTACAAAAAAGTTCATAAGAAATCGAAGTTTTTGTTCAACACAACAATCGAAATTTTTATGAAATAAATTATATGGCATTTAATTTGTGTTAGTCCTGGAATTACTTTGCCGATAATTAGTTCAATAAATTTTCAAATAATAATTCCTTGTGTCCTATTTGGAATTTATATCAAAAATTCCATTTTCACTCATTGGGGAAATGTGTGCCAAATGTGTTTCGGCCAATTAGTTTATTGAAAAATTGATTTAAAATTCCACAACGACTAACAAAATAATAAAAACAACACAGCTCCCTATGCTGTTGTTGGCAGCAACAAACAACAAAACCCACCGGCTAAAAAGTAACACAAAGCTCCAATTTTGAATTTGATATTACATAAATTTTGCAAATGTTTATTATACCCTGTGCCCGAAGGCTGAAGGGTATATTAGAAAATACAAACGTGAATATATGTGCAGGCAGAAAGTCGCGAGGGAGACCTCGAGTACTAGGTACTTAGGTATATTAGCATGGCAAGTCGATATAGATAGACATACGAGCCAATATAGCTAGGTATGTAGAAAAATTATATTACAAATTATTATATTATATAACTGCCGTTTAGCGGAAAAGTTGTACTTAATAGAATCTTTTCTGTGTATAATAAGATATCTAAACAAAATAAAGTATTGTACAGTCTTATCATTTAATATCTCCGGAGTAATCTCTGACCACTTACTGCTGTGAGTCGGGGCATAGCTTGCATTCAAATTTTCCCCCAACGGGTTGGAGATTTTCCCTTATGCTTAATTAGATGTTCCGTAGGATTAATTTTCCTTTTTCGCACTATTTTATTGTTAGTTTGTTAGATCTATAATTTCTCTGACCCGACTCGGGGCATAGCTGTTCAAATGGCAAGTAAAATTCCCCCAATCTATCGGAGGCATTAATAGAAGTTATTGTACAGTTTTTTCTTAGGCTTTCTTATCTTGTAAATTCTTAATGTAAATCATAGTTTCTAAAAATGTATCGACAGCACTATTTGTTGATTTATTAAATAAAATACGATGAATTACGACGAGACATAATTTGGTAATTATTGTGTTTTCGGAATCTCTCAGTGCCTGAAGCATTATTGTTACGACAAAATTTTAGTTGCTGGATAATGGTGGAGGTAGGAGGGTATACAAAAGTTTTGCTGGTACGACCTTTTGTTTTTTACTCGGTTTTTCACGCTCTTACATTTGTGTGTGTGTGCGGGTTACTATATATTTGTATGGGTGTAGTATATAGTATGTGTATTATAACATCAGCTGGCGCAGCAGCCAGCCACAATACACTCGTATTTCATTCGTTGGGAATCAGCGGCAACTCGTTGATTAATCCTATTCTTGACTTTGGCATCGCACATGCCGTATGATTTGGTCGAACAATCTCAGAGCTGAATCACAGGATTTGAATGCCAGGCGATGTGATTTGCTTTGGAATTCAAATGAAATAGAAAGAGGGGACACATACGAGTATCCATGGAATTTGTGCAATATTCTATGGATGGTTGATTGTATGTGTGTGTGTGTGTCTGTGTGTATAAATATTCAAAAAGATTTCGCATGCGGCGCACATTTTGAATACATTTGACAATTTTTCGTAAGAGAAATGAGAAATATTTGCATTTACTTGAGTAGCAGCGGCAATGGCGACGTCTACGTTGGCGTTGGCGTTGACGGTGGCGTCGGTGGTGACTGCAGAATGCAAAAATGTAATTTCCATGAAAGCAGCAGTCAAGCAGCCAAAGTGGCTGGGAAATGCGCAGGCATGCCACCCATCCTCGCAGATTCCTCACAATGCAATTTGTAGGCAGGGCAAAGACCAACATAGTGCCAAACAGTGGGTTAGTTCTACACCAAAACATCACAATATACTTGTAGACTAACTAGCTGAACTCTGCAACTGTTACAAATTTACCTTTGACATATAATGTAAGTTTTTCACTTTTTTTATAGCAGCGTTTAACACTTTCTATTATTGTTTACTGATAAGCAGATGTTGTATATGCTGTTATATAATGTATAAATTACAATAAATACCGCTTAATTACTGACAAAGTTTCAAAATTTAATTCTGATTGTGAATCGCCAGAATATTAATATTGGCTTTCTTTTTGCGTTGGAAGTCTAAACAACATACTTGTACATACAGGCAGATAGCGGTGTGGTTAATCCCTTGATCGGCGCATCCGACTGTCCGTCCGTATGAGCCTGGAAAACATTTGATCCACATCAGTTAGGGCCACCAAAGTCGGTATTTAGATATTACTTGACCACACGAATATCAAGTTTATTACAAATTACATGTAGCTAACATAGGCTTGATCGGCTTGACACGATTATAAATAGCTTTTTATTTCAATTTTTTTTTAAGTTTTTTTTATTTATCGAATCTTTTGTCTGGGAGACTTACGATAAGTAGTCAAATCTTAATCTAATATAGTTATTTAATTAATTACAATTAAATATTTAAATTACTAACATCTGTTATTGCTGGGTGGGGAGGTCTCTTCGCCGGAGTCCTGTATGGCTAGCCTGCCAAGTTAAATTCTGCGCAAGTCTATTTGGATGGTTCCGAAGCTTAAGCTGGTACTTTGCTTTCACCTTGGCGATTTCATCTGTAACAGATCCCACATTTAAATCTTTGCGGATATTTTCACTCCGTATGTATAGTACCTGTGTGCCCCAGTGATGGTTGTCAGTATCTTCTTCTCAGTAAATTACTAATGGAAGCGTTTCCCCTTAGTTCAGAGCCATATCTCCAAATTGGTTTGAGAACTGCATTGTACAAGAGTACTTTGTACTCTAGTTTTAGTGGTAACAGACGTTTATAAGCCAATGTAGATTAATAGCTTTTAGTTTCAGTTGATCTCTCTTCGCTGCGATGTGTTTGCGCCAAGTAAGCCGTCTGTCCAAATGGACACCAAGGTAAGTTACATCGTGTTTTTGTGGAATATTGATGTTGTTTAGCGACAATGGAGGACAAGTTTGTTTATTTAGGGTAAAGGTGAGATGTTTACACTTTTGCTCGTTTACAAGTATGCGCCAGTCTGCTAGCCATTCTTCTATGGCCACGAGGTGAGATGATAAGAGTTCTGTAGTTCTAGTTGGGCACTTCAATTTTTAAATGTGTCTTTGCCTATAATATATGTACAGGTACAATCAGCCCCATCATAATTATGCATAATTCTAAAAAATAAAAAATAATGAAAATGACATCTCACCATATTTAAGCGATATGGACTTAAGCCTATTTTTATTTTTAATTTCTTATGCAGTACAATGAGAACATGGAAGAATTTGAACATTTTTGTTGCCCTTGGACACAATTTCAACGATTTGCACCGTCAGATGGGGTGTCAGGCAAATCGTTGTTATCAATCCCCTCAGTGCCTTCCTCTGCGTTAGGTGAGGAAGGTTCAGGTGGATCGGTTGAATCAGTAGCCTCAATATTATCTGTGGCTGTAAGTGGAGCCCCAGAGGCTTTTGCCATGACATAGTATTGTTGATTCTCCGCATCGCTTAATGCTCTAAAAGGTGTATTTTTACCCACAATTGCAACATTAATATGCAAATCAGTGGCAGGCTCCTCGGAGCCCATTGAAGCTCGAATAGCTTGAATGCCATGGCATATTAATTGGTCCTTTGTGCAATCTGCGAAACTTTTCAAATGGCGCTCCAAGTAGGAACGTGCACCTTGAGAGCGGGCCCCAATGGCCATGGCCTTACAATTGAGAACATTGGCCGACGGCATTACTTGGAAAATATGTGTACCTTGATCATCGTAGCCGGCTCCTAAAATTCCCACTCCATATGGGCGACGATCGTAAGTCTGTGTACCCGATTGTAGTTTGATGCCCAAGTTTTGGAATAGTCGGGCCACGGGATATGAGGATTGGTAAGCGGTGTTATAACTCAAGCAATCGGAGCGCAAGTGCTTCGTAATTCGACGCGCGTCAGCCATCAAGCCTGCTGTCGATATGCCGATGTGGCTATCGATCGCCATTATCTTCCGCTGTTGACCATTTTCAGAATCGACCATTAGGGGGTCCGGACGATTAAGTGCGATAAGCACGGCATACTCCTCACTCTTGAGTCCTACTGTGACGGTTCCCAACTTCACAGCTTCCATGGCATACTCCACCTACGCAGATCTATAGTTAAGGATATATATACGTATACATATGGTTAAAGCCGTACCTGATGAAGCCGGCCCTGTGGACTAAACACAGTCACGTCGTTCTCGTAAGCAGAGCGAAACATGTTCAATGTTTTCAGGTATTAGTTTAGCGTTCCTTAACCAATACTACAATATATGGAACTCTTGACTCAATATATGTAAAAATTTTTAGTGATATACTCAAAACAAAATTGTCGGAAATGCTCTATCTTAGAAAATTCAAATTACAGTTCCAGGAAAGAAAAAGACTGCTAGAATTCACAATTCAAATGGAATATGAAGCTTATAACCTATGATAATATTTTAGAGTATTCTAGATTTAATGTTCAATGTTTTCAGGTATTAGTTTAGCGTTCCTTAACCAATACTACAATATATGGAACTCTTGACTCAATATATGTAAAAATTTTTAGTGATATACTCAAAACAAAATTGTCGGAAATGCTCTATCTTAGAAAATTCAAATTACAGTTCCAGGAAAGAAAAAGACTGCTAGAATTCACAATTCAAATCGAATATGAAGCTTATAACCTATGATAATATTTTAGAGTATTCTAGATTTAATTTTATTTGTAAGTCTTATACTAGCGTTAAAAGTATTGAATTACTTTTAAATTATTTCGCTAGTGATTACAAATGTAATTATATTGATCATATTATTAGGATATTTTCTTACTATTAATGATATTTTTAACATGCAAAACTTTTATTAATCTTTATAATTATGTATATTTTAGGTTTGTTTTATCAGTTTTATACTTGATCTATTTTGCCTACTAAACTAAGTGTGTGATTAATATTAAGTTTTAGGTAACGTTAGGTTAGATAATGTTTTGTAAGTGTGCTTGAATCTTAACCCTAATTGTTGTTAGTTGACGAACAGCGAAAATAAAGAAATGCTTTTCTGAATTTGCTAATTTTAATCTTTGGCAAACTATGTTATTGGTTATTTTTGATGTCGTGAAAGTAATATATAACTTGGTTCCTTACATGTAATAATTCTATGCCAGAAGATTAGGGTTCTTAGCTTAATCCGGGAAACGAGGGTCAGATTGTATATTTAATTGGCGTACTTCGTTATGAAATGCATTCTTTTAATATAGAAAATATACAGTGCTGTGCTATTAAAGGCTACTTTTATCTAGTTTTGACTTACAGAAGCACAGTCACCGAAGATTTCAATTCTATAAAATAGCAAGGGTGTCAGGCGTGTCTTGGCAATCAGGAGGTTTAGTTTCAATGGAAGAAAATTCTGCGGCAAAGCATTTTAAAATAATTTTTTAAATCTTTTTAATGCTTTATTTTTGTTTTCAAAATCGCAATCCCTTGATTGTAAATAAAATTTATTTGCGAAGCAATTTAACTCTTTTTTGTGCTGCTGCTTTGCGGCCTGATGCCAATGGGTGTACCACTTGGCAGAATTTGTTGGGGTACAGGGTATTTACATGTTGGTAACAATGTCTTGCTACCATTTGGGTTAGGGTATATAAAATAAATTCGTACAAGTATGTTATGTCCTGGCACTTCGAGTTAAAATAATTCAAATAAAATAACTTAAAATAGTCCATTTTAGAGAAATGAGAGAGACTGAGCACATTTCAGCCCATTGTGGAAGAGCGGCAGCGGCCCGACCGATGGCGTCTATTGTGCGGGTTAGTAGCGGCTGCATTTGCATGCTGACAGCAGTTGCTGCTTCTTGCTGTTGAGTAGTTCTAACTCACTTGCGAGTACCCCTCCCCCCGCCAGTTCCCCGGCCCGGCCCGGCCCGACCCGGCCCGGCCCGGCTACTCGAGCGCTGGCATTCGCATGCTTGTCGCTTTGCATGAAATATTTGACTTTTGATTAAACCGGCAACTCAAGTGTTGTGCTCAACGTAGCCGTGGTTCTTGGCTCTTGGCTCTCGGCTCTCGGCTCTTGGCTCTGGGCTTATAGCTGATGGCGACGCCTCGCCATCACCCACTCCGTCGTTGTCATTGTGGTGGTGGGGCTGCGTGCGTGACACTCTGACTGTGGCACTCTCGGGCATCTCGACGAGATTCACTTGTCTTTCAAATGCATTTCATATTGTGTTGCATAATTTTGTGGTTTTTTCTAATGTGAATTGTGCGCGGAAAATGGGATGAAAAAAAAAAAAACGTAGCATGCAGTGCTCACCCCATGCGCATCGCAAACTTTTCAAAGAAGTTGTGTGCAACTTGCCGTTTGCAGTTTGTTGGTGTCTTGAACAATACCAACAACAATAGAGCCAACAACAAAAAATGTGCGTTGTTTGTTGTGGTGCAAATAACTGCGCTGCTCAATCTGTCGCTTCATGTTGCAACACTTGGCTGGCAAGTTGTTTTGCAGTTTGGGGCAACAAAGCAGAAAGAAAAACGGAAACACAAGTTGGGCAACGTGCACCAAGGCTTGTCTATGGCAGAAGCCACAACAAAAAGACTGAAATGTGTAGCGCGGCAAGGACTTGGTCTGGAACATAGAACTGCAAACGCTTAAATTATGCCTAACATTGTAAAATGGCGAAACTTCTAAAGCTTGCAGCTGTTGGGGGTTTCCTGAAAAATGAGAAAAACCACTGCAACGGAAATAACAAATTTAGCAGCCAGAAAAAGAATCTTGCACTCCACGTTATTGTAAATAAGGATCTACCCCGTCGGTTTCTACTTACATACTCGTAACTGGAAAGTCTGCTTATGTGGAATAATTATTTGTTTTTTAACGCTTATTTAAAAACTTTTATACAAATTACAAATACGAAGACTTTTAATACCGACTGCCTACCTATTTAGAAAGGCCGTTTTCAAATTTCTTTTATTACAATTATGTCAATTATCAGTTACTCGATATAGATCAAAATATATGAGAATTGAGATCTATAGAGCACGATTTCCCGAGACTGTGGAATCTGCGAGTTTTCAGCTGTTCGAAAAGAAGAAGCCATGCGATTCAACTCTGGTTAACTAGTTCTAATGCTCATAGTTAAATAAGGACTAACTAAACGATTCTTAGTTCACCTTAACTCATCCAGAAACTATTTTGCCATAAACGTATGTTTATGTTGGTTTTTTTCTTTAAGGCAAAAGTTCTCAATAAACCAAATGAAAGAGTCAACATTTTTTACAGACAATTTATAATTTATTTATTAGCTTATTTTATGTCGACAAACACGAGTTGTCGGCATACATCTATGTATGGAAAACGGGTAAAATCGAGCCTTATAAGCTAAAAAGCCTAATAGGAAAAAATCTATTTTCTATCTTTCATCCCATAACCTAAATTATAGTTCTGAGCTCTTTGGAAATTTTATGTAACACTAAATCAAACTTATTTTTGCAAATTTGTATTTATACTCTGTATGTGAAATGTACAATAGTATATTAGGTTTGCGGGAGCTGAAAAATGTAACAGGCAGAAGGAGGCGTGGTAGACCCCACAAAGTATATATATTCTTGATCAGCATGACGAGACGAGTCGATCTAGCCCTGTCTGTCTGTCTGTCCGTCTGTCCGTCTGTCCGTCCGTATGAACACCTGGATCTCAGAGACTATAAGAGATAGAGACACCAAATTTTGCACGAAGATGCGTTATGTGTGTATTCTATACGAGTTTGTTTTATTTTTTTGATTTTCCCCCCCACTTCCCCCCTATGGGGGTTTTCCCGATTTTCCATTCGTATAATCGCCTATATCTCGGAGACTATAAGACCTAGGAACACCAAATTTTAGTCCCAGATGCCTTATGTGAATACGCAGAAAATGTATATTTTGGAATTCCCCTCCCTCCCCCCTCTACCCCGCAAATCGTAACTCCCGTAATTCTTGGAATTTCGAACTAAAATTTTGGAAATACCCCCAGTTAGTTATTATGTGTCCGTATGCCAAATTTCATTATGATAGACCGATTTAACAAGAAGTTATAGCCATAAATATATTTGCTGATGCAGCGCTGCTGCAGCGCTGCTCAAGCGCTGCCCGCGGCTGTTGTTGATGTTGCTGTTTGGTTGACTGCGAAAATGCTTACACAGACACGAATTGATGCGCATAGGCATACATACACTCACACAGACGCAATTGCTATGTAAATGTGCAATTATAAACCCTTTACGTGAGTTCGAATACCGTGAGAGGTAAAATCGATCAAATTTTTTTTTTTATTTTCTTAATTTTTTTTATTTTCTATAATTATTGTAAACATATGTACAGAGTATTTCAAAGTCGGGACACCCGACTTTAGCTTTTTTACTTGTTTTGTATATTATAATATATAAAACGTTATAATTCTCTATTTACTTTATTTTTGAGATTTTCTATTTGGTTACATAAAATTATATATCTGGCATAAAAACTTCGAACGAAAAATTTCAAGTTCATATTTGCGAGTGCTCTGAAGAAAGTATATCGAAAACTTTTTAATAATTACTACAAAATAGTTCAAATCAATAATTTAAAAAAAAGATTGTAGTTTTCCAAATTGAACCTTGAACCTTATAGAAATATCGTGCACTGTTAACACTATAGAAATAAATAATTTACTTGAGCATTCCACCTATCCTAACCATGGCAGCTAAGGTAGATGGACAAGTCTATATATAAACCAATATGAGTACCATTAAAATGGTGCAACCTAGAACCAAAGTAGCAATAACGTCTGCCAACATCGGCCAGATATTATACTAATGACTATAACTTCCTTAACAATTGTCATAGTATCATCATGAAACTTTGACAAAATATATAAAAAATGCCATGGCATATACACATTTAGTATGTCGTGTAAAATAATTTTTCCAACGTTTCTAGTTTGTAATTTTATTAGCAAATATACACTTTTTGAGTAAATAAACCCTTTCATTCTACATTTCTATGAATCTGTTTTTACACAGGAATTTTATGTAAACATAATATCGAATTTTTCTCTCTAGTTTGTTTAAAATGTTAAGAATTGTTCAATAAATTATTGCATAACACGAAAAAAATGGCGAACCGAATACTTTATTTATTATACCAAAGGTCAAGCAAAGTGCGAGCAAAATAAATTTATAAATAAATCTGAAAGTAAAATCAGGCCCTAAATAAATGTAATAGAATCGTGAGTTAATCAATAGTGCTTAGTATTCCACAAATATTGCAGACAAC